ATCTTATTGATTCCAGCTTGGTCAAACAATTAAACATCGAAACTATTCCTCTAACTAAGCCCCTGAGAGTATCAGCGTTAGACTGCAAACAACTACCACAGATTACGCACCAAACCAAACCACTAGAGCTTTTGATCTCCGGAAACCATAGAGAGACCCTTTCTTTTTTTGTTTTTCCATCTTCTAGCTCGTCTGTAGTTCTGGGATTTGATTGGCTTCAACTCCACAACCCACATATTAACTGGTCTAAGAGACATGTGGAGTCCTGGTCTATTTCCTGTCACTGTTCCTGTCTCCGCTCCGCCGCTCCTCTGACCCAGTCGCCGGCCAGCCGTCAGGAGGCTGACCCGCCTGATCTTTCCGCCATACCCCCTGACTATCATGATTTAGCTCCTGTATTCAGTAAGGGTAGAGCTCTTTCTCTCCCTCCGCATCGACCCTATGACTGCGCCATTGATCTTCTCCCTGGGGCCCCTCTCCCTAACAGTCGGCTCTATAACATCTCCAAACCCGAGAGGGAAACTATGGAGAAATATATCAATGAGTCACTAGCCACTGGAATAATTCGACCGTCCTCATCTCCTCTCAGAGCCGGTTTCTTTTTTGTCAGTAAAAAAGACGGATCTCTGCGACCCTGTATTGATTACTGATGGTTAAACCAAATAACCATCAAGAACAAATACCCGTTACCCCTGTTAGCTTCAGTGTTTGAACCTGTTCAGGGAGCCACTATTTTCACCAAGTTAGACCTGAGAAACGCTTATCACCTTCTCAGAATCCGTGAAGGGGATGAATGGAAAACCGCCTTTAAAACACCTCTGGGACATTTCGAGTATCTTGTAATGCCCTTCGGTCTGACTAACGCCCCAGCTTGTTTCCAGGCTCTGGTGAATGATGTTATGAGGGATTTTTTGAACGTTTTTGTTTTTTGGTCCTCAGATACTGCCCAACCCTCCAGAGACAAACCGATCGCGGATAGAGGAGTACTCCTGAATGATTGAATAAGACCAATCTTATTTATAAAGAATCCCATAAAATCATTACTTCTAAGAGCAGGTGGAATGGGCAGTTCAAATAAGCTATGGCTCTGGGTGAGTTTGGCAACTGTATTAAAAAGAAATCTAGGATTATTCTTATTCACCTCTATTAATGAGGAGAAATACGCTGCTCTTGCTTTACAAAGGGTCCTCTTATACAGCAGTAAACTATTTTTTCCAGACTAGGTAGGATTCCCGTAGGCCTGTGGAGCAATGTTTTCTCTCCAGTTTCCTAACACATTCCTTCAAAGTGTGCAGCTCTGTATTAAACCAAGGAGCAAGCTTTCTATTTTTAACGCTTTTCATTTTCAAAGGAGCTGCATTCTCTAAGGCAGTACGCAGAGAACTAGCAACCCCATCAATAAAATCATCAACCTGTGAAGGGGAATAAACTAACCTTTTGCACTCTGCAGCACTGCTCAGCAACACAGAGGAGAGAGAAAGTGAAGCAGATTCTTTAAAATTTATAACTGCACTATCTGATAATGATCTACTAAAATTGAATCTTCTTCTGGTGTAGGAGAACTTTGTTAAAGTAATCCTGAAGGTTATTAGAAAGTAGTCAGAAAGGACAGGGTTGTTGTCATGATGGGTTTAGGATTCAAGCCCATATGCAGAAACACTACCAGGAGGCAGGGAAAAAGTTCAAATGTTTATTATAGGTTTGAACAAGAAAACATGAACTGGATCTTGGAAATAGGTCTGGGCAGGATTCTCAGGCGTCTTGACAGGGTTCAAGCTTTCTTCTCTGAGAGAGGGAACCGGTTGGGTCCAGAGACTGTTGATTCAGCAGAGTGCTCATCAGCAGCAGCAGCGTCTAGCTTCTGGCTAGTGGGCCTCAAACGTGGGTTTGGTTCCTAGCTCTCCCCTGAGAGCTGAGGGAGGAATCCAGACTGAGATCTACAGGTTCAACTTCCTAGCTCTCCCCTCAGAGCTGAAGGAGGAAGGCTAAGACCTTCAGGTTTGGCTTCCTTGGGCAGGCAGGCAGGTTTCCAGACAAAGCTCATCCAGAGCTTCAGACCAAACTTAGTCAACACTGCGGCGTTGAAGACAGGTCTGGTCGCTGCTTAAGTAGGAAAGGTCTCCTGATGGGCTGATGAGCTTCAGGTGTGCTGGAGGGCTCCAGCCCAGGAGACCCACAGCGCACTCTGCTGGAGACAGATAGTAACTCTCCAAACCCAACAGTAACCCCAGTCCTAACAAAAAACAAAATAAAACAGAAGAGGATCCTCGGCGCCCTCTGGATGGCAAGCCTGAGGATCCCAACAGTTGTGAGGAAATACTGTTATTTCTTAACATTTTATGCCATATGTCAGCACAAGATCCAAAGTATCAAGATGAGAATGAGTGGAACTATTCACATTTTGAACAAAGCCAATAGTGTCTAAGATAGCCTTAAAGGCTGCTCTTAAGCTATCGCCTTCAGTGTCAGCATGGATATTAAAATCTCCCACTATGATGACCCTGTCAGTATTTAATACCAAATCAGAAAGGAACTCTGAAAACTCATCTAAAAATTCAGAGTAAGGACCTGGTGGACGATACAAAGTTAAAAAAGAAGAGGTTTTCTTGCTTTGAAATTTTGATCAGGTAAATTAAGGGTTAAATGTTCAAAAGAGTTGTAGGTATTAACTGTCTTGGGAGTAATCAGTATGTCAGATTGAAAGATTGATGCTGCTCCTCCTCCTCGCCCAGAACTTCGGGGTATGTGAAAATTTAAATGGCTTGAAGGAGTTGCCTCATTTATGCTCACATAATCCTCTTGCTGCAGCCAGGTTTCTGTAAGGCAACATAAGTCAATGTGATTATCACAAATCAAGTCATAAACTAGCAGACTATTAGAGGTTGAATGACGACTTGTGGCTAAACATGTCATGACAGGTCAGATCAGGGAGGGGACCAGAGAAAATTACGGAGTCCGACATTGATTGGCAAACTTACACACCAAAGCAACACTAATTTTAGTGATCTCCGATCGGCGTAACTGGGTGTCATTACCACCAGCGTGGATAACAGTCTTACTGTATTTAACCTTATCCTTAGCCAGCAGTTTCAGGTAGGATTTGATGTCGCCCGTTCTGGCCCCCAGCAAACATTTGACTATGGTCCCTGGTGTCTCTAATGCCACGTTTCTGACTATGGAGCTGCCAATCACCAGAGTGGGCTTCTCAGTGGGTTTGTCACTGAGTGGGGAAAACCACTTAGAAACGTGAACGGGATGGTGGTGACCAGTGGGCAGAGATCATCGCCTGGCTGCTCAGACACTTTTGAAGGACAGCTACATGGGGGGCCTACTTTAACTCCTGGATGTTCAACTCCCATCTGGAGGCCTCCTAAGGCCCCGTCCACACGAAGCCGAACCCTGGCTAAACCGACAAATTTTTCACCAAACCAGCCTCTCATCCATACGAAGCCGGCGTTTCGGGGGTCTGTAAACAATCTTTTTTATATTCAGCCTTCAGAGTGGGAAGATTTTGAAACGCTGTTTTCGCATTTCCATCTTTAAGCTCGAACCGCATTTTTTTTTTTACACGCATGCGTCATAGCGTCGCCTCTAAACACGCATGCGCGACACAGTATCACAACAACAATGGCGCCGTACTGTGTTGAATGGTTGCTGCTCATGCTACTCACCCTTACATCAGAATCCTCTTCTTCTGGAATATCTCCAGGAAGAACAGAGCAATATAGACGACATAGTTCATCACCTGAATTTGACTGAACCACGATAATGGACCCGCAGGGCAAACATGTATAAATATTAGTGCGCATGCCAAACATTTCGTCGCCTATTTTTGCTTTGGCACGACATCGCCACTTACAGGCCTGGCATACATTTTGCACATGTTTTCATGCATTCGTGTGGACGATCACATTTATTAGATTCAGGCGGGGGCGCGGGGGGCGCGCGCACCCCCATTTGGGAGACGTCATGTGACGGTTGAGACACCGGATCGGCATGAACTTGAATTTCAATGCCCCAGGTGGCGAGACCTGGGCGACGTAATAAAGCGGCGTTGCAACGTGACGTGATTCAGGTGATACCGCAATGGCGTCGAAGCAAGCACGAGGAGACCTGGAAGACTTGAAGCCAAACAAGAAAACCAGACAACCATCTCTTTTACGATTCTGGTCCAATCCAACAAAAGGGTAAGTAGAAACCAACTTTATCACTTTATTTTCTAAAATACAGCAAATCTATATGATTTCTTTGATTCGTAAACAGTGAACATATGTAGCCAGAAGAAAAGCCGACCGAAACTCGGCGGCCGACGACAGGCAAATTAAAAAAGAAGTCCGGCCAATAAGGATCATTAGCTATATCTTAAACGAAAATGTTTGTGGTGATTTCATGAACTTTGCCTTAATTGATAAGGAAATAAAAGTATAAATTATCGTCTCGATCACTGTGTAAAGAGCAGCCATGTTGCACGCTACTGATCGACGTCACTGTGCGTTGCTACGCAGCGTAGCAACGCACAGAGACGTCACAGGATGAAAAAAAAGTTTGTAGCTTGTAGAGTCTCACTCTACAACCGTTGTGCACAGCTCCAACAATTATTTTGGATTTCGGGAGGACTTCGTCATTGAAATTCGCGAGAGCTATTGTTGAAGCAACAGCGACCACGTGCATGGCAGTTGGATGTTCCAATACATCGGGTAAAAGTGAAAAAAAAACAAAACAAAACATTAGTTTTCGCCGTTACATTATCAGGCGAAGGAATATTTCCGCAATTGTCTGTAGTGCGGCAGTTTACAGCGCAGACTTCAAAGAAAAAGAAACACCGAGTTCATTTATTGACCAGTATGTAATAGTTTTATGTTTAAAGTACTTTCAGCAGTTAGAATTCTGATTTTGACCAGGCTTTTCCTTTAACAAGTTTCCCAATGTCGTGCTGTTGTGCTTTGTAAAGCGGTTCCTAATTCAAGGAACCGTTTTGCACAGCCCCGATCAACAATTATTTTGGATTTCAGGAGGAATTCACCATTGTAATTTTTTAGAGCTATTGTTTAAGCAACAGTGACCACGTGCGTGGCCGTTGGATGTTCCGGTACATAGGGAAAAAGTGAAAAAAACACATTATGGTTTTCACCGTGACATTATGAGGCGGAGGAATATTTCCGTCATTGTCTGTAGTGCGGCAGTTTAGAGCACAAACAAGCGAGTTCAGAAGTTTTGTCGTGTTGTAGTATTAAATCCAAAGTGGCTTATGTCTATAATCTAAATGGCACAGATTGAAATGTTTATATCTTGTTTTCTATTCTTCAGTGGACCTGGCACAACAACAGAAAAGGACCACAACGTTGACCTGTTCGAATGTGCAGATATAGACGACACACAGATGAAAGGTATGATGATTGCTAGAAAATGTTGATGATGAGAAAACAATATCAACATTGTTGATAAAAAATTTGTTTAAAGTTGCAAAGTAATGCAATTGTAGGAATACTTTAACCAGTAACGGGAAAGTTATGAAAATTGCCTTGTTTGATAAGTAATAAAAAGAAAAAGAAAAAAGAAAAAAAATAAGCAACATTAGTTGCCATTGACATGCATATAAAAGATATTTTTTAGTGTGTGTGTTTCGGTCTAAACCTGTACCACATGTGTTGTACTGTTAAAAATAAGAATGGTATCCTTTATGAAAACATTTTTAATTTTGATAAATTGGTAAGGATCCAAATCAATGAATGCTCTAAGCACATGCTTGGAGTCTAAGGGAGTCTTGTTAACATTTAATATTTTACAATAAAAATACAATTTACTTTTAAGTATATTCAGTTTTGTGCACCTGGTGATATGTGTTCAGTGAATTTAATAATTTACGATAAAAACACAACATTAAATTGTTTTGTGGCTCCTCCTGAGATTACAAGGTTCACCTGCTCACAAAAACTATTCTCTTTTCCAGATGAACAACAAGGACAGTGTTGGGATGTAAAGACAACTGAAGAGCCGGCGCTCAACCACGCGGATTTGCCCCAAAGAACTTACGACATAGGTTAGTAATAGTTGTATTTTTTTCAATGTCAAAACCACTAATTTTGTGTTTGTTTTACACGTTCGACTTTTTTGCTTAATTTTGAAATCTTACATTTCATAATAATTATTTCATAACAAAGCAAGACTATACAAAAGCTTCATGTAGGCAGATTTACAACTCCACCAGCACCCTTGCAAAATTGATAATGTAAATATCAATCTTATTACAGATATATCAAAGGCCAAGGACCGGATTGCTGAAATGGATGACTCTGGAAAATTCCAACTTCTTCAGACCAGAAGACCACCCAAATCTTTTACTTTCCCTGCCAGACACTTTAAAGACAACCGAAGAGCCAGTGGGGTGACCAAAAGGACATGCCAGAGGGACTGGCTGGACAAGTATGACCTTTTATCATACTCTGCCCAGGAAGATGGTGTGTACTGTTTGCCATGCATTTTGTTTCCCGTTGAGATTCAGAGTAGGAGGGCTAGTATTTTGATAGACCTGCCATTTACCAACTGGAGAAAGTTCACTGAACAAATTAATACACACATGCAACTGCAATACCACCAGAGTTCTGATGCAAAGTTTCATGCATTTGTGGATGTAATGAATGGTCAACAAACAAGGATTAACCACATGTTGAATTCTGAGATGGATAAACGTGTTGCTGAAAATAGACTGTTCTCTCATCAGTTGTGAAATGTATAGAGCTGTGTGGGCGTCAGGGCTTCGCCCTAAGAGGCCACCGAGATGATCCTACATCAGAAAGTCTAAACAAAGGCAACTTTCTTGCACTTCTCAAGTTCAGACAAGAAGCAGGCGATGGCCCACTTAAAAATTACTTGGACTCATGTGGTCAAAATGCAAAATACATGCATTTTGGCCGGATGGCCGTCGATGTCCAGGGCGGGTGGAGGGGAGTCGGAAGGTGGGCAGAGTGGGCTGGTGATGACAGGTTTAATTTGAGACACATGGAAGGTGGGATGTATTCGAAGCGTGGGAGGTAACTGAAGACGAACAGCGAAGGGGTTGAGGATCCGGGTTATCTTGAATGGTCCGATGAAACGTGGAGACAGTTTACGGGACATGGATTTTAACGGTATGTCTCTAGTCGAGAGCCATACCTCTTGGCCAGAAGGCTTTCCAGACTTGAGAGATGAATTGTGGGCCACGATCTGAGAGGATTTCCTGGGGTATACCATGGAGACGGAAGACGTGTTTAACCAAGAGTTGGGCTGTCTGGAATGCTGTGGGTAACTTTCTGAGGGGAATCAAATGGCAGGTTTTGGAAAAAACGGTCAACGATGGTGAGAATGGTGGACATACCTTTAGAAACTGGGAGACCGGTAACGAAATCCACAGCAATGTGGGACCATGGACGGGTCGGAACTGGTAGAGGGTGTAAC